GAGCGGGAGTGGAGGAGACCGCAGGGGGGCGCCTTCAGCGACGAGCAGGCTGAAGTGGCTGAGCCAGCGGCAGTGTGGAGGCAGCAGCGGGCCGCCGGGGCAGAATATGTTTTATGGCCTCAGACTGCTTCTGGGCGGCAGAGAATTGCTGGGCAAAACTCTCAACCGCGTCGCCGAAGAGGCCAGCCTGAGAGAACGGGGAGTTGAGGAGCTGAGTCCGATCAGATTCCCTCATGTCTGCCAGGTTCAGCCATAGGTCGCGCTCCTGGACCACCAAATTGGACATCACCTAACCCAAGGTACGTGCAGTGACCTTCGTCGCCCGGAGGGCGAGGTCGGTAGCAGTGCGCGCCTCCTGCAAGACTTCTGGGTCAGCACTGCCCTCGTGCAGCTCTTTGAGCACCTTGGCCTGGTAGACCTGGAGGGTGGCCATGGTGTTCATGGCAGAAGCGGCCTGACCCACAGCTCTGTAAGCCTTGGCCAGAAGCGTGGATGAGAACTTACAGGCTTTGGACGGGAGCTTGTGACCACCACGCCAGGTGGAGGCGCTCTGAGGACAAAATTGCATCGCAACCGAGCGCTCCACTGGGGGTATCCCCACATATCCTTTGGCCTGAAGGCGGAGGTAGCACCAGAACGGTTTCGGGCAGTTAAAGGTGCCTTCCACGAACTGGTAACTTCCTAATGCACCTCCGGGAAGAAAGGAACCGGAGGGGGGCGCTGGCGATCAGCGCGTGCAGCCCCCAGGAACTAATCGTCCAGCCTCGAGTGTTCGGGACAGGGTGGAGGACTCCACTCGAGCCCGATGCTCTCAGCTGGCCGGGAAAGCATGGCCGTCAGCTCTGAATCAGACTCGGGCAATGCTGACGTCCCAGAGGGACGCAACGCAGCCTCATCTCCCGAGGACTCAAGCCCGCCTTGTGATGCGGCGATCGACATTCGGTCATCCTCCTGAGCCCTGAATGAGATTCTGGGATCCTGATGAGAGGGCCCAGAAAGCTCAACCGGAGGCTCCACAGGCTGCGGTGTTTGTGAGGGGGGTGCGGCCCGAGGAGGCTGTCTCATCGGGGAAGCCCACACCGTAACCCTCAGATCACCCTGGCTAACAGCCAAAGTAGACCTCTTACGCTTGGAAGCGGAACTAGATTGGAGTGTGGCAGAGGGGACTCTATAGTGTTTAAGGTAATCGAGTCTCGATCTTGATGCCAAGATGATCATGTCCCCACAATGAGAACATGAACCATCCACGAACGCAGCCTCAGTGTGCTGAAAGCCCAGACACGTGACACAGCGATCGTGGCCATCACGAGGAGCCAAATATCGGCCGCACCCAGAAATGCACGGGCGGTATGATAACTTTAAAAAGACGCAAACACAACCCGTGTACTCTTTTAGAGGAAATAGCTCTTTCAGAGGTGCTGAAGAGCTCAGGGGAATGCATGAGCTGGAAAGAAGAAGCAGGAAGCTCTTCAACGAACCGCTGAATCGCGTTGTCACACCAACACCACTGAAAGCTTGTTGCAAAACACTCCGGTGATACCAGCAGAGAGATATGCTCGGCTCCGAAGCGAAAGCTTGAATGCGAGTTGCTTGCGCTGCTCCTTATATACCCACACGGCGGGGCGGAGCTCACGAAGCAAATTCCGCAGACCAAGGTACTCAGCGTACCATTGGCTTGTTCTGTTACCACTCGAAGGTGATTGGGCTCTCGGGCGAGATCCCATTCTTCAGTTTGTTCTGACGTAACGTCAAACGTGACCGACTGAAAGGGAACAGTAATTAGCAGTTTGTTTACCTCCATAATCTTGATTAAAGCTACTGAGCATCCAGTTAATCAAACTAATATATGTTTTCCAAAAACGTTCATAAACTCATATTACTGTAAAGATCAATTAGCGGGTTTTATAATGTCTAATCACACACTGTTTTCCTCACTGAAATTAAGCTGTACATAGCCATATATTGACATTGGGATGGAAAAACTGTTTGGACTCCAGCTTTGACTAGTTATAGATAATTTGGCAAGAGAAGAGCATTCAGGCTCAGTGTTCCTGGAACAGAATCACAGAATGACAATTTTTAATTATTCCTATTAGTATTTTTGAAACATCACAGTAATGGTGGGGAATGGGGAAAACAGTGCATATCTGTACCAGTATTAGCATATCATTCTGTTTGAATGAATACTCTTCTTGTTTTTTTTTTTTAAATAAATAAATAAATATTGGTAACACTTTAGGGTAACCCTAACCCTAACATTTGAAGGTGTCCTTGTTACATGTTACATGTATTTACTATTAAAATAACAGTATATTAGGCATAATTACATGCAAGTAACCCTAATCATTACCCTAACCATACAGTATGTGCATGTAGTTAATTAGTATTACTCAGTACTTAAATAATTACACTGTAACAAGGACACCTTCAAATAAAGTGTAACCCTCTTTAGTGTAGGGACCAATTATCTCTATTAACTAGCTGCTTATTAGCATGTATATTGTTAAAATATTGTCTGTTTATTGGTACTTATAAAGCATACAGTCTGCATGACCATATTCTACATCCATAATCCTACCCAATACCTAAACTTAACAATTACCTTACTAACCATTAACAAGCAGCAAAATTAGGAGTTTACAAGTCATAGTTAATGGTTTGGTAATGGCGAAAATTGGACCTTAAAATAAAGTGTGGCCCATTTATTTTGCTCAAAACATTATTCAGAATAATTGTAGAATAACTTTTTCAAAGTCCTACGAAATATGTCAAGAAGAGTTATTGTCTTCCTTTTTTATTTGATTTTATTTTTTCCTTTTAAATACCCAATAACCTGGTGAACCATGATTTGCTACTTGCTATTGTCAGTGGGTGGCAGAGGAAAATACATACTTTTTGCAGAGAGCATTTGATTAAATAAAATCTGAATTAAAATGAGTCATCAATATTTCTGGTCCAAGTGAAATACTGTAAATTTAAAAATTTTAAATGTACAGTTTATTCTATAATGCACAAGCATATTGATTATCTCAAAGCTAAAGACATGGACTGAAAGATAGAACTTATTAAAACAGTTTCTTGCACATTATTTAGTAGATGATAAACAAACAATACTAATTTTATTAATAATCGAATGAATGAATGAATGAAGCTGTACATAAAACAAAGATTATTGGTATACATTTTGCAAGAAAACAATTTCAGTCTTACTAATTCAAAAATGGATGTAATTTAACATGCTTCATTAATTAATTAATTAATTCATTCATTCATTCTTTATTTATTTATGTAAAAAAGTGTACAGAATAGACAGTTCTGATGCTCAATTTTGATGATGTTCAAAGTACACAGATATTTAAGTGCTATTTACTGACAGATATATAGGCTAGACTGAGAAGGACAACAGGTAAATCTCTGTACCCTTCAAGCAAGGAGCACTTGATCTTAAAATCTGGCAGAGTTTGCTTGTATAATTGCTTGCATACATCAGCAAAATCGCAGCTCTGTCAATTTAAATAGTTGACCTTCAAAATGTGAAACTCCACGGGACAAGCAGGCTTGTTTTGAAATTATTTAACAACTATTTTCTAAAGTTTGAGGGCAGCCAAGATGATTGCAGTCAAATCATTTGTTATGATTCTTGATCACACACACACACACACACACACACACCTATTTTGGGCTGCCCCGTGTTGCCACAGTCGGACGGACCGCACATCCCTCTTCCTGACGGCAGGTTCCAGCGTTTGCTATTTTTCAGCTGTCGGTCCACTTTTAAAAACTCACACACAGCTACTTGGCTGATCAAGTCACACACCATCAGCTAGACAAGAGTTTGCTTTTATCAGGCCTCCATCTTAATTACACTTTGCTCGTTAAATGCAGGAGCGTCTGAAAGAGGGCCCGGGCTTTCGTTCTTTTATAGATCTTTTGTGTGTGTGTGTCCAGTTTGAAGGAGCCAAAAGCTGAAGATGTACGGAGAGGTTAAGCAGGCATCAGCACTGAGGGCCCATCTGCTGGGCCCCTGTGGACGGGTCAGTGGCTTGATGAGGGCCGTTCGTAATCTCTAGCGCAGCAGGTTCTGTCAGAGGTGTGTGGATGGGTTGCAGTGACATGTCTTCTCTCAGCAGGGTGCCGACAGGAACCAGGTCTAAGCCAGCAATAACTGGCTGATCCGTGCCAGGACGTGCCACCCTGTCCTGCCACTGCCACTGCCTAAAGTCATCAGTTCCGCCAAGTGCAAAAGAGGAGGAAAGGGCCAAGGACAAATCATGAGTAGAATATGAAAATAAATTAGCCGAGGTCAGTAGTTTGGGTAATTTCTCAAATAAGTGCACTTTTGATTACTTAAATAAAGTTTTACAGCCTTAAGGTCACATTAGTAAAATTCCCACCTTCAGGTCGTGGTAAGCATGTTTTTTTTGTTTTTTTTCTAAAGTAAGCATAAAGGAAACATTTATTTGTATATCCCAGCCAGCATTGTATTGTATTGTATGTTTTGTTTACAAAAATAAACATTTAAATATAATCTTACTAAGACATACTATTTATTATAGCAACATGCTATACTATTATACAGATCTAATTGATTTACATTCTAATTAATCAGAATTTCATTTTACTTTTTGGCCATATAAATATCAGCAACTGCACCAAACTGCATATTTTGCTGAGTTTGGGCCTCTGAATAAAACTGAAGTGTTTCTTCCTCTTTGAGTATGATCTCAATTTTTTTCATGCATCGTACTATTTTAGCCATAAATGCCTGATATATAAAATATGATACTCAACAACAACACATACAGTATGCATTTTTTTTTTATTATTTATTTGTTTCTAAAGATAATAGACTATTTCATTTAATATATGTATAGAGTTAATATTACTTGTTATTTTCCATTTGTATGCAGTTTGTTTATTTGTCTCATACTATGAGTGTTTCTTAATAAGACATTGACAGCAGTAAGGCATGTTTATTTATTTATTTATTTTATTTTTTTGAGAAATAGTCTTGGACATACTGTACTAACAAATTCTGAATTAAATTTCAAATAGTTAACTCCTGACTGGTTACAAATTCTAAAAATATATGATTGTTACATTCTTAAGTAAAAGTGGAAATGAGAATTTCCCCCTGGAATTTATTTGAGGGATTAAATGTTAAAAAGTTAAAATGCCTAATTAATGTAAAACATCACATTTTACACTTCAGTACTTTTTAGAAGGAAATTCATCATAAAAAATAAGGGAGAAAAAAAAAAACAGTTTAATACTATCATAAAGCATCCTTTAAATTAGAATTCTGTGCCAACCTTTTAGACAATGGTGGTAATAAAACCGCTGGTGCCCGAACATCATCTCAGACAAGAGAAGCAGAATGACCCTTTGCTCAAATAAGTCTTGGCAAGGAGTTAATTCCCAGACTGACCAAAAATTAGCTGCCTTTCTGCACCACAGTGGGACACTGCAAATGTCCCACATATGCTTTATCAGTACAAGTGAGCAGTTGATACTGTTCCCCGCTCACTCGGTGATAAGAGAGCCTGCTGCTCTGCGGTATGTTCCCATCGCCTCTCCCCCATCCCCCCTCTATCATTTCTATCCAGGCTGCTCGCAACCTGTTTTCCCAAGTGCCAGCGGCCAGGCCTGTTCTGACGATGGGTTTACGGTGTCTCAGCCCCTGGAGATGCTGTCCGTTTGCTGGCTGGAGGCCTAGTAACCGAGCCTGGGCATCCAGCCCTCCCCTCCATGTGCTCGGTGATGTACTGAGGCCCTCCTGCCTGTCTATCATGCGAGTGGAGTTATGTCTCCTTCCCGCTTGGACGATCTGTCGACTGGGCAGAAGCGTGTCATCCGCCACACAAAGTCTCCCATTTATAGCTGTTTTGCTGCACGCAGACAGAACCAAGCTGTGGTAATATTCATGCTAGGCAGTGACAAGGCCCCATGTGCCAGCAAACAGGCCAGACAAACTGGGCCATATGGAGGCTTAGCAGACGGATTTCGGAGTTAGTCGTCTGCATTGCTTGTTGGGAATGCAAACATGTTGCCATGATCCCATCCTCTTTATTTGCATATGGGCTGCAATATTATATAGTATTTGGTTTGCATTCAAGGGTGAAATGCAGAAGAAACAAAATGGTAATAAAGGCTTTACTTAACAGGTTTTAGGTAATTGTTTCTGGGCACCAATTACTCAAGTATAAACAGTTATCAAGAAGAAACAATTCTTGAATTATAGAAGCAATTATCTTCTAGTCGCCTCATCAACTTGTGCATTGTAAATGCATAAAGCTAAGCAACATGCATCACAATATAATTTCTTATTTGTATTTTTTTTATCACAATGTTGTTTCCCCTCCAATTATTATTATTTATTTATTTATTTGTTTGATTGTGTGTTTGTTTGTTTGTTTATTTACACACATTTTCACCACCTATGTCTAGAAAAAAATGTCAATAATAACACAATTTCCTTTTATTCTGAAACAGGTTTCAGCCTGAACATACATACATACACACACACATATATACTAAAATCCTTTTAAAAATAAAGTGAACTCCCACATTTACATTAAGCACATTGATGTCAATACAGTGCTCTATTTAATCTATTTTCTTGACTGCTTGCCTGACCATCTCATTTATTGCTAAAATTAATACTGGCACTAAATTTGCATTAAACACAGGCTGCCAAAAAGCTGTTTAACCTTTTGGCTTACAAGTTACAAGTCAAATTTGTTAAAATATTTGTAAACATGACTGTAATATAATCTGTGTTAATTGTTGTGATCGATTATCAATATAATATTTGCTGGCATGTAATTTGGCATTGACATGAAGAAACAATGTAAAAAGATAACACATGTTGAAAATATCCACATTCAAATATGGTTCACAGTTCAGCCCTTAACAGGAAGACAACCTAGTGAAATTAACCCTATATGGCCTACTGCATCATATTTGATATGCTAATTTATATGGCTTCTAAATTATATCAACCAGGGCTGTGTTTCCCAAAAGCAGTGTAAGCCTAAATTGATAGTAGCTCCATTGGTTTCAATGGTTTTGAATTGACTGCATGCCTTCTGTCGCTAATTGATGGTTTTACTTTTTTACATTTTTACTTTTACATTTCATTTTATGTGGTTGTCAAATATGATACATGCATTTGTACTGTACATTGCATTGCATTATATGTTTTCCCCCATAATAAAAACTACAGAGCTTTGATTATGAAATGAAGTATTTAAATATCATCTTAAGACATATTATTGGGCACTATTGAGTGAAACTGATATTTGTATCCATTTAATGTAAGTATCTGCTATACTTATCTCATTGATTTACATTACAAGCTACCATAATTAAATTTTACTTTTTGTCCAAATACATATCAGCAACTGCACCAAACTGCATATTTTTGCTCAGTTTGTCCCTCTGAATAAAAGTAAGGTGTTTTTTTTTTTCCTTCTCAAGTATGAGCTTCATATTCTCACTATGTCGTACTATATGAGCCATACAAGCCTAATGTTTCAAATATAAATCTCAACAAAAAAAAATATATTTTTTGTTTATATTTTGTCTACAGGTTCAATGAACTGTTCCATTTCTCTGACTATTCTTTCATATGTCAGGCTTTACAGAGCTAAGACAATCCTGCATATAACAAAGGCAGATGAGGAATTAAAGTTTAAATGCATTTTTATATATATGTTATAAATACGTTTGGCCTTGTTTTGGTTTAATCGTGGTTCATATTGACTTCTTGCCAGTGGATTCGGCTCCCTTGGTGTCCTGACTGCTGCTGTTGAGTTTTGCTGATGTTTTGTTTGTGTTGCGGGGCTGTCTGACATGATTGAGAAGATGCTGTATTGCAAAATCCTCCAGGCCTGTTCTCGAAGAAACCGAATCAAACACAGTGAGCTCTTCACACGGCTTCCTGATGCTATCGCTTCAGAAGATGTGAATTTACCTGGCAGCTTCCTTCTTTAATGTATACCTTAAAGACATATATGACTTGACCTGAAGTCCAAAGTGCACGTGAGTGGTAGAAGAACCATTGACTTGCAATCAGCTCCATACAGGCCAAGAACTTCATACATTCAGTTAGAGTCAGTCACTTCCTCTGCGGATTCCCTGACCTTCACTATAAAGAAAAGTCTTTTTTTTACAGCACGCAGAGTAAATCTAGTAAACCGTGGGTACGGTCAGGAGATCGGACTTGTGTCAGAGCCGTGGCAGCTGTCATGCACATACTCAAGACATCTATGGGCCATTGAGCTCCGGTGGGGACGCAGGTTCAAGTGTGGACTCTGTTGTTTCCTGATCCCATATATATCCCATCTCTCCTGGTTCATTTCCCATTAACCTTTGCTGTCCTATCTGAAATAAGGAAGCAAAAAAGCCCCAAAATAAAACAAAAACGGGCCTCTGACTGGTTATTCTTGACTAGCATCGAGACTATCATAGCATAGCACAAAATAATATAGCCTACTGTTTATATACCAGTATGGTTAATCTCTGTCAGACATTCCACATTAAATAAATAGCCCTTCAGCTATAACCTTTACACAGATGAGACCCCAGTTACATTGTTCAATCTTGTATTATATTAAGAAATGGGGTGCAATTACAAGATCTTGGCTGGGTTGGCTGATAATATTGCAAGTCGTACTTTAAAGACCATCTTATCTTGTTGCATGTTATTTTATGATAACAAAAAAACTCTACCAAACCAGTATGATGATCACTTGTTATAAAGAAGAACATTTGTGTATTTTTTGCATGAAATGGAAAAGACATTTATAAAGACATTAGTAAAACATATATAATGCTGCTAAGGATTTTATTTATTTTAAACAAATGCTTTTCTTTTAAACTTTCTATTCATCGATCATAAATAAATAAACAAATAATAACCCTTTCCACAAAAATTATAATAATAATAATAATAATAATAATAATAATAATGACCCCAAACTTTTTAATAACATCGATTGTATATTTGAATACTATATATTTCATACTATTTACATACTACTTAGATAATGAGGCCCTTTATTTTCATCTCTCTTAATCAGACTCTGGCTCGGATATGAGGGTAGTTTAAAACATGGTGTTGTATAAACTGTATAGCGTTTTCTATGTCACTCTTCAGAATGTTTGTTTAACATTTAGAAAAGAGGATTTGACCTCCTGAGGCTCAGCTCTGTATGTTGATCGGTTTAGAAGTATTGTTGTTTAACGCCATTGTACTCAAACAATTGTTTCAGCTTCTTCTCAGCTAATTTCTTAGGGAAAATTTATGCATTTTAGCTAATCGGAGCGTCTTTGT